ATTCATTGATTCTTTGTATTTTCTTAATCTCAATTGCATTAATTTGTCTTCTAAACTTAATAATTTTCTCTTTCATACGAGCCTTGAGCTTGACTTGCTCTTCTTTTTCTAGAAGCTTGAGGTTCAACATTGGGTTATTTATTTGAGCTTATTCTGTTTTTCTGCTGTGGGAATTTACCACTATACATTTCACTCCCTCATAGGATTGCTTTCCTTGCGTCTCATAAGTTCCAGTATGTTGTATTGGCACTACTGCTTAATTGAAGAAACTTACTGATTTCTTCTCCAATTTTTTCTGTGACCCATTGATTTCTCAGGTGAGGTTTCTTTTTTTGTACTGGGTATCGAACTCAGGACCTTGTGCTTGCAAGGCAGGTGGTGAAACCACTGAGCTAAATCCCTGGGCCTCACGAGACTGTTACTTAATTTCTGTGTGTTTATATATTTTTTGTGGTTTCTTTTATCATTGATTTCCAATTCCATTCGAGTATGGTTTCATAATATTCACAAGATAATTTCAATTACTTTGCATTTACTTAAGCATGTTCTATAAACTAGTATTTGGTTTATTTTGGAGAATGCCCCTTGTGCAGCTAAGAATGTGTATTCTGATATTCTGGAGTAGAATGCCATGTAGATATCTACTAATTCTGTTCAAAAATTTTGTTCAGGGCCAGGGATTTAGCTCATTGACACTGTGCCTGCCTTGCAGGTGTAAGGTCCTGAGTTTGATCCCCAGTACCAGAAAAAAAAATATGTCCTGCTATTTCTTTGTTGATTTTTTTTCTATCTTTTTGATCTATCTATCTGTGACAGTGGCATGTTGAATTCTACCATTACAATTGTATCAGTGTTTATTTGAGTTTTTATATTTGTTAATATATGTTTTATATAGTTGGATGTACTGGTATTTGGTGAATATATATTTGTGATTATTAGTGCTTCTTGCATTGTTCCCTTAACAAGTATGTCATGACCTTCTTTGTCTCTCTTGGTCAGTCTTGGCTGGAAATAACTGCAAATAGAATAGCTACCCCTGCTTTTTTTCCAGTTTCATGTGTGCAGCATTGTTTCCCATCCTTTGACTTTCAGTCTATGAATTTATTTTTGAGTTAAATGTGTTACTTGTATGCAGCATATTGTTGAATCTCATTTCTTGATGTATTCTGACAGTCTCTTTGTTTTGATTGGTGAATTGAGACCATTTACATTGATGCTTATAACTGATACATATTAACTTATCCTTGTTATGTTATTTTCCTGTTGTTGTTTCTCTTTCCTCTATATTTAATTGCTTGCCTTGCCTGGTGAATTCATTTCTGTTGGGGTTCGTGGAGTTGTAGTCTTCATTATCTCTTTCTAGAATGTCCTTTAGAGCAGTTTAGAATGCTGTGTTGGTGGTCATGGATTTCCTCAGGTGTTCTTTATCATGAAAATATTTTATTTTTCCATCAGTTTTGAAAGATAGTTTTGTGGTACATCAATTTGGGTTAGAGGTTGTGTTCTTTTAGGGCTTCTAAGCTGACTTTGATTTAAGGGTTTGGATTGAGAATTTTTTTGTAATTTTGAATGGATTTTTCTTTATATGTGGTTGGTTTCTTTTTTCTAACGGCTTTTAATATTCTGTTTCTGGAATCCTGACTATATGTCTATTGTTTTTTATCATGGCTAATGGGAGTTCTATGTGCCTCACTTATCTCTAAGTCAAATTCTTTTTCTTTCTTTGGAAAATTTTCTGCCACTACTTTTGTGAACCAAAATTTTTTTTTTATTGAGTTTATTGGTACATTTAGGGATACAGTACAGTTACATTCATTGTTGGGATCATGTACCTTTACATGGCAAGTCTTGATTCTCATTTTTTTCCCCTTACCTCTGCCCTCCCTTCACCCCCTCCTCCCCTCCCCATCTACAAACACTTTATTTTCATCTTTTCATTCTCACACATATTTTTCTTTTCCCTTTTTGTGTGAACCAAATTTTTATGTTTGTACTGTCTTCTGCATTTTCATTGATGCTGTTCAACCTTATGTTATTCTTTGCATCCTCTAGAAGCTGTTCAATTGAGTTTTCATGGTCACTTACTATTTTTAAGAAATCTTTCTTTTCATGATCACTAACTGCATTCCTGTCTTCTAGGTCTGATATTCTGTCAGCACATTGCTTCAGTCTGCCTCATATACTTTCAACATAATTTTTAATCTCCTGGTATCTGATTGAATCTGTTTCATGGATTCTATATTCTTCCTATATTGAGCATTCATGGTTTCTATCATTTTCCTAAGTTCCTCTTTTTTAAAAAAAATTATATCTTCTCTAGATTAACTAATCATGCCCTTCATTATGATCTTCATCCCTGAAGTTTCTGAGAAATTATTTCTGATTTGATTTTTTTCTAGAGACTCATGCATTTGTTTTATTACTTTAGCAATTACCACTTCAGAGAGTCCAGATGGGACTTTCAAATTGTTTTACCTCATTGCCTGCTGAATTTGCCTTTGGCAAGCTGGAAGTCTGGGGTTGTATCTTGTTTCTGTGTTTTCTAGTTTTCTGTTTTTTATTTAAATTCGTGCACTGATGCTTATAAGTTGTTTATGGTAGGTATCATTATTGCTAGTGTCAAGGACCCTTAGGAAATGACTGCTTCTCAGAGATGTCTTCCAGGTGTAGCTGGCTTTTGAGTCTGTTGTAAGATCATACCTCCTCAATTTACTGGGGATGAGAAAGTGCTAGTTCTTTGACACTGTCCTATAGTATTATTTGTGACCCTTAGGCAATCTGTCTTGATATACAAGGAAGAACACCTCATTAGAACAATTATGTCACCTTGGCTAAAGTAATACAGTCAGTAATAACAATAGCATGAAACACACCCTAATAAATGACAAACTCTGGTAACTTTTTTGTGTGTGTGGTACTGGGGCTCAAACTCGGGACCTGGTGCTTGTGAGTCAAGTGGTGGAGCCACTGAGCTAAATCCCTGGTCCTAACCCTGGTAACTATTAATTTGCCACCATTGACCGTATGAATAGGATTTGAAATTATACAACCAAATCTAAAAACAAACCAGAAAATATTGTACAGTAAATATCCCCTGAACATGGCAATTTTATCCTCAGGGGAAAAATTTTAAAAAGAGCTAGGGAAAAAAATAAAGAAATAGAAGAGAGGGTGCCTCTACCTGCCTCTCAAGCTCAAGGTCCTGAGTTTGATTCCATGTACCAAAAAAAAAGAGAAAGTGAGAGAAGAGAAGAGAAAGGGATTAGAAGCAAGGCTAGAGGACAAAGGCACGTTTCTCAAACTTTGGGAACTGAAGAAGACAGTAAAGAAAAAAAGATGGAGAAACAGAAACAAGAACAGAACAAAACAGCACCAATTAAAAAAGAAACTAGAAACAATGTTCTAACTTGTATAAAAACAAGAACAACAAATCAAGAAAAAAAGAAAAAAATAAACAAAGAAAAAATAAATAATAAAGCAAAGAAATGAAGAAAATCAGAAAAAATGTCCACTTCAGGGTGTTACTTTGACAGAGGGGAGAGATAGTGAGTGCTCAGAGCTTTGTTAATTGATTCCATCCATCCAGAAGTAGAATGATGACAGTGGTGGATAATCACAGCAAATCTGGGCCTTCCATTCCGTTGAAGTTCAGGCTACTTCTGGCTTCTAGCTGTGAGGCCAGGCTTGAGGTGTTCAACCCCCAATACTCTGAGTACCTCCTACTGCCTTGAACTCAGCTCCCTGCCAGCTTGAATTCTACTCCCTGGCTTCCTGCCTGCATGAACTCTGTTGCGCCACACCTGCCAGATGGAGCCAAACCACAGCTGCTCTGAGTTGTGACTTCTGTTGGCCCCTTTCCAAAATGGCTACTGGTCAATCCAACCTCTCCTGGGTGTCATTTGAATCCAAATAACTCACCAGCCACTGCAGTCCACAGCATCTACCCCTCTGTTCCATTGGTGCATATCTCCATGGAGGTCTCAGGGGTCACCAGTACTCACTGTGCCTCTGCAAATTCAAGCCACCTCTCCTACACCTCAAACTGGAGCTCAGGGAGAAAGTACCACTTGCCCCCTCCCTCTTCTATGTTGTGGTCCCTCTCTTTACTCTCCCCATGCGATCTAATTCTCACTTTAGATCTTTGCTAAGTCCTGAGTACCCACTTCACTTCTCTTTCTCTTCCTCACATTGCTATATTCCAGTGTCTGGTTTCCAAATATCAAAGAAGATGTTTTTTCTCTTGGATATGTTCTTTAATATCTCCTAGGCCTTAGTTTCTTCATCTGTAAAATGGAGATAATCATAGCTTCTACTTCCTTGGATTGCCATAAAAGTTAAATGAGTTAAAAGAATAAAAAGCTTGCTATTATTATTATTATTAGTAGTAGTAGTAGTAGCAGCAGTAGTAGTATCATTACTTCTTTCTTCTGAGCCACTTACCATATAACTTTAGTTTATGCATTTGTCACACTGCATTGAAAATTTTTTATATAGCACTGTTGCTGACTAGACTTTTAACTCCTTAGAATTATGAACTATTCTTTGTTCATCTTTGGAGCCCCAGCACCTGGCACAATGCCAAACATGTTTTTTGACCAGCCAATATTTTTGACCAAATGGAGAAAGTCATTTGAGCCCAAAATTGGAATTTGAATATTGTAATTGCTTCACCATGAATCTATCAAATTGTACAGAAAAGATGCATGGTATCACTTAGAATAGGTCTATCTCAAAACGTTGCAGGACTGGTTTGCCTTTCCTTTCACTTTGGGGGGCTAATTGGAGACCTTGCTGTATGCCTCAGCCTATACTTTTGTTGATCATCTATTAATTACTAGCAACTTTGATTCCCTTTATAAAGCTTCAGGAGTAGAAAAAAATGTATATGACCACACTAAGCTTTGGAAATCTAAAATTTATGCCATGCTGCCCATGGAACTGGGCAATCAAGGTCTGATTACTCCCTCTCAAAAGGAACTTACAGTCTTCCATAATTTCAGGAATCTCTCTGAACCTGTCATGACCTACAAGCTTCATAAAGAGCTGGTCTCTGCTGCCAGTAAGTATGTAACTACTTAATTGTGCTGTCCTGGTTGTTTCATAAGTTACATCAATAAGCCAAGAAAACCACTTAACGCATAAAGGACCAAAAATATATACTTATTTTGTTCAGTCCCATGTGAGCATATCCCCCACATGCTAACTGAAAAGTTGTATAATTTTTCACAAATCAGTGTTAGTTGAATGGGTTGAAAAAAATTGGATAACTTGAGGAATGTGATAAATTTAGACTTTATTTAATGCCTCTTCCTTCAGAACAAGTAAACTGGCCTACATTTCTAAGGGGCAGTAAAAGTTACATCACAGCTATTGTTACAGCTACTTTCAACACTTTGCCTGTTCAAGTTATTTGCAGTTCTTCTGTAAAGCATTGCACCTTTTAGCATTAACTTCCCATTTTCTAGATGAAAAGACTGAGGAAGCTGACTGAAGGATACATGGGAAGTAGGGCATACTGAATCACCTCCAGGGTTCGCAGTTGAAGATCCATTAAGAGTTTTGGCTCAGTCTATTGTAATGACTATTTCACACCTGGGCACACTCATCTTGCATTGTGCCCTGTGTGGTGGACAGAATAAGGATTCAAGGATCTTGACCTCTTAATGGGTCTTTGTTGAGGCATAGAAGCTTTGCTTCACACTTTTGGGTTCTCCTGGTAATTTTCCTAGGAACCCAGAGGCAGCAGCATTGCACTGAGGACCCCAAGAAAGGTGGGCAGGAAAGGTTTTCCAACTGGAAGTTTGTGTTTGGGGCTTTAGAAGCAACCTGTTGTGGCCAGAACTCTAAGATGGTGTTGTCTTGTGTTCTCTTCTAGCTTCTATATTTGCCATTCCTCTAAGTTTCTTTCTGTCTTTCTCTGTAGTTTTTGTTCTCTTCCTCTTGTTACTTCTCTATCTCTGTCTTTGACTCTGTCTGTATCTCTGGTTGTCTTTTTCTGCATCTGTGCCTCTGTGTATCTTGTTTTTGTGGGGGTGTGTATGCACAGGAAATTTTTCTAAATTCATTTGCCCAGGAAGCCAAACCATTTCTTTCTTTATTTCTTTTAACAGAATCAGACAACCTGGATTACCGCCTGGGAGCTATTCATTCCCTAGTATACAAGCTACCAGAAAAGAACCGTGAAATGCTGGAACTTCTGATAAGACATTTGGTCAAGTAAGTAACTGCTGGGTTTTCAGAAAGAGTTCCTGTCCGAGTAGTGGCCCACATGGCAGGACCACAGAGAAACTGCTCATGAATCCCAGTTTGTGTAGTCATAACTCCCAGCTGCTTGCTGGATAGACTGAGTACTCTGCAGAACATGAATTTATTTTGACCTTTGTATATATCCTCTCAGAATCATGATGCAGCTGACTTGCCTGTCAGTTTAATGCTAAGGTAGGGTGCAGGCTGTATACAGGCTTTGCTGTTAGACAAAGCAAGTTTTGAGTGGTAGCTGTACAGCTCATTTAGCTTTATAATCTTAGGCAATCCACTTTGAACTGATTTGGTCATCTGTACAATGAAAACAGTAAAGCCAAACATACAGGACTATTAATGTGGATTACAATAAACCTAAATAAAGTGCACAGCACATAGGAAAATCTCAAGAAGTGGGAATTGTTAGGTGTGTGTCACCTTCTTATTCTGGTGTAGCAGGTAGTAACGCAGCTTTGCAGAAGTAGGCTTGGTCATGGGCTCTGAGATAGGTGTGTGGAAGGGGCACGTGTGCTCCAAAGTGGTGCTTCCTGGCCAAAGGATTCAGTGTTGTGAATAAAGATAAACTTACCTGGCTCAAAAATAGGCAGAAAGCAATCTTAGAAGGATTTAGCTAACCTTGGTTCTAGCAGTCCCACTTTTAGGCATCAACTGTAAAGATACACTCCACAAATAAGGGTTTGTAATTATAGCATGATTTTTGGGTTTTTTTTTTTTTTTTTTTTTTTTGTGACAGGGCCTCACTAGGTAGTTGAGACTGACCTGGAACTCACTATGTAGCCCAGGCTAGTCTCGAACTCACAGTGATCCTCCTGCCTCAGCCTCCCGAGTGCTGGGATTACAGACATGCACCACCACGCCCGGTTTATAGCATAATTTAATAAAAGATTGGAAATGATATCAATTCCAACAATAGAGACTTGTTAAGTAAATGTATATTCAACTATGTAATATTATGCATTCATAATAAAACTGAATGTGAAAGATATCCATAAACTTGTTTTTGTAGTAATTTCCAGAGTTTATTACAAATTGCAGGGTATAAAACAAAATTCAACCAAAAAATCATGGTTTAAAACAGGGTATGTAATATGCTAGCTTTTTGGTGAGGAAAATAAGAATATACGCATATATTGCATTATTCTCCCCAAATGAAATCCAGTAAGATAAAAAATTTTTAAAACCCTCATGACTTATTTTATTTCTCAAGTGAAATCCAGTAAGATAAATTTTTAAAATACTCATTGCTCCAAAGCTTAAATGCAGAATTACCACATTACCCAGGAATTTTATTCCTAAGTATTTACTTAAAGTAAAAACATATTCCATAAAAAACTTGTTTACAAATGTTCATAATAGCATTATTCATAGTTGTCCAATATAGGCAACAGGGAAAGGGGACGTTACTAGAACCTGTGCAGTAAGTCCTAGTCTCCTGTGAGCCATGACAGCAGAAGGTGAATGAGTTAATATATAGACAGAAAAGATAGAGAAAATGAGATTTAGAAAAGAAGCTGAGCTTTGGGCCTGATCGTTGCTGCTCTGGGCAGCAAAGATGAAAGCCCCCAAGCTTGCCACACCTTTTTATTCAGGATATCAGGAGAATCAAAAGTAACAGATAACTCGGGGCAGAGTTCAGTACATCAGGAGAGTGACAAATATAAAAGGCGACTCAGAGAGCAGCTGTGGTGAAAATCCTGAAACAATGCGGAAATATTAAGATGAAGATTTTGTTCTTCCCCAGGTTATCTTCAGCTGGTGTAATCTTGCTCTGGACCATTGAGGTCTTAGCTGTGACCAGAGGTGAAAACAGAGTTATGTGTCAACATGTCATAGCTGGCCTGTAGACAGGAGGGCTAGGCCTAATCAAGGGATGGCTATTTCCCCAAAATTATGTAGAATCACTCCCAGCAGTCCAAAGGTAGAAATAACCAAATATCCATCAATAGATGAATGGATAAACAAAATAACCATATGGTAGACTATTATTTGGCCATCAAAAGGAATGAAGCCTTAATCAATGTGGATGAACTTTTAAAACATGCTAAATGAAAGAAATCGGACCTAAAAGTCCATATATGACTCCATTGATATAAAATGTTAAATCTATAGGAACAGAAAGTAAGTTGTTGCCAAGGACCAGGAAGTAGTGGTATGAGAAGGAATAGAGTATGACTGATAATAGATACAGAATTTCTTTTTGGAGTAATAAGAACTTGAATCTTGACAGCTGCACCATCATGTGAATATACTACAAGCCCTAATTTCCTTTTCAAATACTGAATTTATAGCATATAAATATATCACAAGTTATAAAAATAAACTAATTAAGAGCTGAGGATTTAGCTCAGTGGTTCAGCCACCTGCCTTGCAAGCACAAGAATCCAAGTTCAATCCCTGGTAAAACAAAACAAACCAAACAAAAAAATAAACTAATTAAAATGGTTATATAGGGGTAAGTTTTAAATAATGTGTAAAGGATAAGGATAAGAGCTAGGTTCCACCAGGTTTTCCTTCTAATTAGTTTCAACTTTTAAGTCATATTATTATTTTAATTTCTAAAAACATTAAATAAAAAAGAAAAGATTATAACCTTAAAACTGAACACTAGAAAAGCAAAAGAATCAACATGTTTATCAATTTGATATCATAATGACACAAAGAAAGCATTTTAAAAGGGTAGTTTTGCTAATTAAGAAAATGTTCATATAGTCTAGAAAGGTAGAAATTGTTGACCTGAAACAGATAAGCTAAAGAATACTGTAATTTTGTCTTGGTGTCCTCTGACTTATGCTTAAATGGATTATACTTTAAAAGCAAGAAGAGCTGCAAAGAACCTTTAAGCAACATCCAGTAGGTTTATTGGTAGTGATATAATTATGATTTAAAATGCACACACATACAAGTCTCACAAGGATACAGCATAAAAGTAAATATATTAATTTTATCAGCACTAAGATTTGTGATGTAAAAAAGATATATGGATACAAAATTAAAGATGCAAGGAAATCTTATATAACACTAAAGTTAAATCAAGAATGTTAATATGAATTTATGATTTTTTTTGTTTTGTTTTTTGAGACAGGGTCTCACTATGTAGTTGAGACTGACTTGGAACTCACTGTGTAGTCCAGGCTGGTCTCAAACTCACAGCAATCCTCCTGCCTCAGCCTCCCGAGTGCTGGGATTACAGGCATGCGCCACCACGCCTGGCATGAATTCATGATTTTAAAATAAAAAAAGAAACAAAATTTTCTATTCACTGAAGCTGTGTTAAAATGATTCTACCCAAAACATAATGAATATACCTAGTGCCCAGTTCTAAATACCACAAGGGATACTTCAAAACATGTCTGATTCCAGGTGTGAGGCTAGGAATATACAAGGTGAGCCTTGGATAAGTTATACCACATAGCAAGTAAGAATGGAACTACTAATATGGTTATATTTAAAAGAATACAAGGACCTACCTGTTTGAAAGGGCAGCTGCTGATGACATTTGTGGCAACCTCAACACCAGGATTTGATTATAATGCATTAAATAAACAAAAACTCACGGGGTTTGCTAAAGGAAGGAAAACTTTTCATTATAGAACACCAGTTGATAAATGTAGGAGGAATGATATAATCATCTCTAGTCTGCAACTTCACTCCCTATTATTGGTGGTCTTCAAAACCATTAGGTAAAATAGTACTGAGGAACAGGGTATTTATATAATTTCATTATATTGCTCACAGGTTTCTTACTAATTAAAATGGAATAAAATGGTTTTTTTTTGCAATGAAGCAATATGAGAGACAGACACTACCTTAAAGTAGTTGATGAAAGTTAACATCACTAATACTGGTACATACTGACCTTATATGCCATGCTGTTTAATACAGTAAGAAGTACAGAGCATAAACAATGGAATATTTTTGCCAAAAATGTTGAATCCAATTCAAATTAAGCCCATCAAGTATACAGGAAATGAGAGATATGGAAAAATAGAGAATATTTGATACTTCATAAGAACTGCCTTGGACTTATCAAAAGCATGTAGGGGTACTGTTTTATAGTGAGACTAAAGAAACAAACAGATGCAGTGTATGAACTTTGATCCAGATTTGAATGACTCATGAAAGACTTTCTATGACATTTGAGAAAATTTGAATATGGGCTAGATGATATATAATTACTGTACTTTTTAAAGATGTGAAAATGTTACTGTGGTTTTGTAGGATTATTTGCTTGTTCATTGAAGATGCATCTGAAATATTTTAAGGTTAAAGCAATCTATTTTCAAAAGGTTCAGTAAGGAGAGAGAAAGTACAGAGAGAGAAGGAAAATGTGGCCAAATATCAAGTCTTGAATCTATATGTAAGCTGAGTGTTCATAGCACCAATCTTTCAACACTTTTATGTTTGAAAATTTTTATAACCAAAAGTTGTATGAAAAATATAAATTTAAATACAGATTAAGTTCTTTTTAAGAAATGTATATCAAAGAAAATTCATGTATTTTAAAAATGAATGTAATTATCCTTCCTGCCAAATGCTATTCTCATAATCTATTTGATGATTCTATCTGTCTTTGTAATATGTTCCCACTGCCAGCCTGTTTTTAGGGTAACCAGGCAGAAGCAAATTGACCTCAGCCATTTTTGGGTTCCCAATTATCCACTTGTTTTTGATACTTGAAATTTCTATCAGTCAGAGATAGGAGGCCACTACGGTTTCCCTCCCCAGTAATCTAACTACCAGTGGAGTATTACAATGAAAACAAGTCTCTGGCTTAAGTCTGCCGTTCAGACATATGTTTACCAATAAGCAGATACAAAAAAGTCTTGCACAGCCTGTTCTATAAATTCAGTGAAGTCCCGTTTCTCTGTTCTCTCCCATGCTCTGACAGCATCTGTTATAAAAGTTTCACTTGAGGCAGATGAGACAATACCATAGTAATGAAATTGGAACCAAGC